ACAAGCAAGCCCTGTCCAGATTTAAAAAGTAACGCAAAAGTAACGTAACGCATTACTTTCCATAAAAAGTAACTAAGTAACGTAATGAGTTACTTTTTAATGGAGTAACGCAATATTGTAATGCATTACTTTTAAAAGTAACTTTCCCCAACACTGGTGGCAGCACAAAATATTGTGCCTAAAACAGGACCAAAAGACGTGTTGTTATGAGTCAGTTTACCCCGTTCTTCTTGTTCAGATGTTGATCTGATATCTTGTTTCTCCTTCAGGAATTTAAATTACCACACGACATTGTTGTTACAGCAGACGGGAGCGTCTTTGTTGGAGACGCAGCATCAAATTCTGTAATGAAGTTCGTTCAGTCTGCAAGTAAGTTATATTAGTATAAATATACAAATATAACATTTCAAATAAAAATATGAGAAATGTGTTGCAGTGCAATCATAATCCGTCTTATTTTGCCACACATCACAAGAAATCTGTGACTTTAATCCCAACAATGCCAGTGCTCTGACCACACTGCCACCAAAGGCTACCAAGAATATCGCATCCCTAGTTGCTCTTGTAGTTCCTGCTTGTGGCAAAGCAACATCGATGTTTATTTCACCCTTTTGCCACACATCACAAGAAATCCATAAAATATTCAGAACATTTAATTTTGCATGATGTTAGTGATTACAGTAATTACATTATAGGAAATAACTGACGAACCAGAGAAAGTTCACCAAAAAAATCCAACTTTCAAGTCTTAATGGAAAACATGAAATATTGAGTTCATTATAACAGTAATTAAAAATTAATAACAGTTTACATTTTATGCTGTGCTCCTTTTCTTATTCCACCAAACTTCACATTGAAAACATTAATCAGTTATTGCAAGCCTGCAGTTTTATCCTATGATTTTGTCTGTTCTAACAACAAAAATGGAAGCTAAAGATTTTTTATTCTCATTTCAGAGGCAGAACATCGCTCGGTTAAAAAAGGAGGAATCGAGGTCCAAGAAATTGAAGGTAAATTGTTTGGATCGTCTTCATTTTTCATGACACAGCGAGCTTCATTGGGCCAGTCACAAGTGGACAGTGGTGCGTGTCCCAATATTTTTTAATTTACTTTTTAATGCTGCCTTTTTTAAGACTTATATACACCGTCTAATTGTGATTGTTGGGAAATTCTGTAAATAAAGTGAACCTTACAGTCTCTTGAAACAGATTATAATAACAGATTATTAGTGTATAATGTACTTTCCCTATCATGGATGGTTGAAGGATTTGTTTGACTTTAGAGGCTCTGTGATGCTTTCATTGCAACAATTGAAATAATTATCTTAGAATGTCCTTCTGTGATTGACTGCTTTTGAGAGTTTGACCCATTAAGTCTGAGTCATATTTCGCCAATTTTCTTGACAGTTAAGCATTCCCACAAATCCGCAAGTAATATTTGTTTCTTATCTAATTCCCCCTTTTCTTGTCTTTTAGAAACGGAAACGTTTGTGCAGGCCAATCTGAAGCCGTTACCCAAGATTCCAGCGCAGCATCCAGTAGCCGGCGTGCAGAAGATGCAGGAGCCGTCACAGAAGCAGCAGGAGCAGCCGCTGGCAGCTCCTGAGGAGAAGGAGACGAGCAAGACTGCAGCCAATCAGAGCGCTCGGGGCGCGTCGACCGCCATCATCACCACTCTACTGCTCGTCCCATTGGTGCTCGTCATCGCCATCGGTGCCTTTATCCGCTGGAAGAGGGGCCGGATGTACAGTGGTAATTGTGGAATATGCTTTTTTCCCATCACAGTCTTCATGTGTTGTTGTATGTGGGATTGTTTTTGATCGATTTCTACTTTTAAGATGATTGTCAGGTGAAGTTGGAGCCTTCAGGATCAGCAGGAGGAATCCTGGGTAAAATCAGAGGTAATTCCAGTAATATTTTCTATAGAGACCTAATGGTCAACTTGCCTCTTAAAGAAATAGTTCACCCAAAAATGAAAATTGTCATCATTTACCCTCAAGTTATTTCAAACCCATAAGCCTTTTGGGTGACACTTTAGTATAGGGACCGATTCTCACTATTAACTAGTTGCTTATTAGCATGCATATTATTAACATATTGGCTGTTTATTAGTACATATTCTGCATGAGCATATTCTACATCTCTAATCCTACCCAGTACCTGAACTTAACAACTACTTTAGATAAAAGTCGTAGTTAATGGTTTGTTAATGATAAGAATTGGACCTTAAAATAAACTGTGACTGATTTCTGTTCCGCCATTGAAAGTCCATCATTGAGTTTAAAAGCTCATAAAGAGATCGTAAAAGTACTTCATATGAATCGAGTCATATAATCAAAGTCTTCAGAAGAAACACAAACACTTTATATGATGACCAGATATAATTTAGGCTTTTATTCACATGCAAACACTGATTCAGAAAGCACATCAGATATGGCGAAGGAAAGCTCAAACATGCTCGACACGTGAGCACAAATGCAGTTTGTTTTTATGAGTTCAGTAGTTTATGGAGTTTTTATTCCACAATCAGTGTTGGGAAGGTTACTTTGGAAATGTAATGGATTACAGATTACAAGTTATCCTGTTTAAAATGTAATAAGTAGTGTAACTGTTTCAATTGCTTTTTTAAAATAATGTAACTGGTTACATTTGATTACTTTTCTAAATTTCTAGCGAATTTCTAACCAGTTAATCACCTCTCAGACAGGTTGTAGCCTAAAGCTTTCAGCGTTAATGTGGATTGATGTAATTAGTAGGCGTGCTGCGCTGGAAATTCAAACGAGAACCAATCAAAAGCATCAGAATAGCATCGCTTTACTAAACGGCCTTTAATTGGCAGACGGCATCGTGCACATCAAAAACAGGCAAAGCAACAAATTAATTTTATTCAACATATCCTAGCTTTTTACAGAAAATATTCAGATGTAACCCCTTTTGTAATCATTAACATTTTCATAAGTAACTATAATTTAAATACACATTTTGTTCTCAGTAACTGTAATGGATTAGTTACATTTATTTTATTAAATTACGTTACACCATTGCATGTAACTAGTTACTCCCCAACACTGTCCACTATATATTGTTTCTGCGCTTATGCCGGTTATAAACTCCATGATTTTCAAAGTCATCGGATCGCTGTTTCTTTCACACTACACGACTATTTTGGGTATCATGCTGTGGTTTGCACGTTACTCAACGGACCGGCGACTTCCTTATTCCGAGGTCACCGCAGCCACCAGATCCAGTCTGTATCCAGATCAGATGATGAAGATGATGTCAGCTGAGATCAGGACAACTAGATGAGCTCCAGAGACAGATCCCCAGTGAAGCGCTATATAAATAAAGGTGACTTGACTTGACTGGGGCGGTGACTCATTTTTTACGCTATATTTCACTAGGATGAAACCCTCTGTGTGCAAAGTGATACAGGGAATGATGTAAGATCACCAGACTGGAAGTTGGCACTTCTCAGATCGCATCTTTGATCACATGATGCAAATGTCACTCGCGTGAATGAGTGCAAAATTGCCTCTGATTTCAGACTCTTGTCGGCTATCTCCAGGAAACTGTCTGCAAGTGATAATCATGTAGTGTATACCCTCGCTCTTTCTCACACACAGGCAAAGCTGCAGGAAGCTTGAACCTGGGGAATTTCTTTGCCTCCCACAAAGGCTACACCCGACACGGCTTCGACAGGCTCAGCACCGAGGGAAGCGACCTGGAGAAAGACGACGAGGACGGCACCGACTCCGAGAACGAGGAGTACTCCGCTCCGCCGGCCCCGATGTCCTCGTCCTAAAGAGCCAACGCTTTCTGCTAGCGGTGTCGGGATCTACTTTAATCACCTCTGTATTTGTTTGTATCGGCTGCTGAAACATTTTATCTCGTGTGAAAATGTTTAAACCTACGACTGCCACTTTAATTGAAGCTTTTAAGGGACCACGTGGAGATTCAGAGCACTGGTCATTTTGAGGATAAAGACATTTGATTATTATTTTTAACAGGAGCGTTAAAGTAGATTATTTATTTAGTTTTAATGATGAACAGCTAGTCAATCTCTTCCAATAATTTATCAGTCTGATAGCAGTGCAATTAATATATAATTGATCCAGGCATTTTGTGTCATAACATTTCTGTATGTTTGTGCCTTTATGTATTTCGCCTTCTGCAGCACCTATATATTACTACAGATGTGCCACATATTTAAGAGCTGCTACTGTCACCTGTGATTCGAGTTGTTTTTTGCACCTGATTAAAAAAAAAAAAAAGATGATTACAAATTTAAGGCTGTATTTACTACATTTTCAAAGCTAATGTGAGATGTGTCTGATATTTGTTGTGATACTGAGGTTTTATTGAAAGAAAACTATTTTCAGTAACGATGTTATTTGTGTAATAAAGTGTCTGCAAAGCATCAGCTCTTTCTACCGGCTGGATGAAGTATCTTCATGCATATTGAGAGAAAGTTCACACTAAACTACACTGCTTATCAGGGGAAAGCTTTATTGTGGTTTAGGGGAAGAGGGTGGAAAATGGGTCATGTAAATACAGTACACTGGCATAAATTTTGTTTAATTGAAGACAGTGTCATATTGGTGCACTGTGAATTCAGATTCAGACTTTTTTAGCCTGTAGGTTACGAATCGTGAAGATGTATGAAATTAGTAGAATTAAGAAATAATGACTCCATGAAGTAATATTATATCACTATACACTACCAAAATAAACATGACAATTTTAACTCTAACCTTTCACATCAACATAAAAATCAGGGCCCGTATGTAAAAAAAATTCTCAGAAATGCTCTTAAGAATAGTCTTAAGCTTTGACTTAAAGGCACAATATGTAAGATTTTTTTATTAAAATATCTAAAAACCACTACACTCTAAAAAAAAAAAAAATGGTGCTATATAGCACTAAAAGCGGTTCTTTGGCTTGTAATCATAGGGGAACCACTTTTAGTGCTATTTAGCACCTATTTTTACAGGTGCTATATAGCACTATGTCAAATGGTGCCATGTAGACCCATAAGAGGTGCCATATAGCACTTTTTCTCAACAATGGTGCACCAATCATAACCCATCCCTGGCTCCCAGCATGCATTGCGACATGAGTAAATTATGCAGCTGCATTGTCTTAGTATTTTCTTTTATTCTTACTATTTGCTTTTATTTTTGTTGTGACTTTTTACTGCCCTGTTTTGTGATGTTCAAAAATATCAAAATTATCAGAATATTTTGTCACCATTGCTGAGATTCACATGCTGATTCTTCATGTCTATGAGTGACAAAATTGAAACCTCTTTATAACCCATAATTCTAAAAGTAGTTTATACAATTTTCTCACATTGTCACGTAGTATCGTAGAACTTCAATAATTTAGAAGTCATATAAGAACTACAGATTTCGATAAAATGCAACCAGAGACTCAGACGCATTAAATGATTTTACCATAAGTTCCTTGCTATCACATATGTGCTTCATAAACACTACTGTAACAGCCAAAGAGAAACCTATTTTAACTTAAAATTAAAGTCTTTTTTTTTAGAGTGTAGAACAGTGTTATATATTTTGCTGACTTATATTGTTTATTGTTTATTGTTATATTTTGTACTTACATTATCCCAAATGTTTAGAAGAATGTTTAAATCCAGACCATCACGCCAATTTATTGGCCAATAGCGCTTAGCACCGCCCCGAGCATACTCATATATGCGTGCTGCGCATTATTTCATCAGATTTTACATTATGACGAAGGAAGCTCTATCGAAGGTACGGAACGGCCAGCATCGCAGCATCTCGTTCCCTATTCAGGGAACCAAGGTTACATACGTAACCGAGATGTTCCCTCTCATAGGTTCACTTCAATGCTGCGATGACGTCATCGCTATGGGAACGCTATACCATCTCGCCTGACGTACCTAAGATAGCTGGAAGACCGAGGAAAGAGTCTGCTCAAGCGGAAGAGACCCGGGAGCCAAGAGCCATCCTCACGTCCAGACAAGTAGAACTTGATGAAAGTGCTAGGAGAGGACTAACCTGCCACAGCACAGACATCTCCCATCAAAAGCCCTTTAAAAAGAGCCTGAGAAGAAGCCATTGCTCTCGTAGAATGAGCATGCACCTCTAGAGGCGAAGTCACACCACGCGCTTTATAGGCTAGAGGTATAGTCACTATCTGACCCCGCATAGCAGGGGAGAAAGCCTCCAACCACTTGCTGAAAGCGAAATGGAGTCGAAGCAGCCTTAGGATTAACTAGGCCTAGGAAGCAGTAAGACTTAACCAGCCTCGGGGCAAAGTCCATACAAGAGGAGCTGACAGAGCCTGCAGATCCCCAGTCCTCTAAGAGAGGATAGGTTTACCAAAAAACTGCTTAAGGTTTCAAAATTATCTGACAGACTTAAACGGCTCAAATGGATGGCCTGCCAGGCCTTCCAACCGAAAAATAAGTCCCAAAAAGGAATCTGTGCTGGGCGGAAAGGCCTAAGCCGTCTAGTTCCAAAAATCCCGATGGGGATGTCCAAATCATGCCCGAGCCTGAGTCAGCAGGTCGTGTCTGAGGGGAACTTCCCAAGGGGGTAGCCCTAAAACCATTGGTGCAAGGTCTATGTTGACATCCAAGTCCCCACTCTGTGGTTGGTGCCAGCAGGCTAACAGACTGACCAATTCTGAGAACCACGTACGAGTGGGCCAAAACGGCACCACCAACAACAGACGTTCCCTCTGACCAACCTTACTCTGAACAGAATCGTTTGGGAGCAAACGGGTCGACGGGAAGGCATAAGACTGGTCCTGCTCCATTCTTGGGCTAGAACATCCACACCCAGAGGCGACGGAGGAGACAAGGAAACCAGAGCGGGCAATGTGCATGCTCTAAGCAAACAAAACCACTTCCGCTCGGCCGAACCTCTGCCATATGAGACTCACCACCTGAGGGTGCAATCTCCATTCTCCAGCCTCCAAACTCTGTCTCAAGAGTAAGTCCACTCCTGAGTTCAGGTGACC